ACCCGTTACGTCATCCTTCCCAATTTTATGTAAATTTTTTATTTTCTAAATTTATATATTATTTCAAACCCTAATTAATTATTCAATACAATTTTTTCTTTAATTAGTATAGAATAATATGATAATATATTAATATGGATATTGATTATTGATATGAATTCTATGATTATTGATGGCAATGAAATTATGTTTAGGGTAAAAAATGAATTATCGTTAGATTGATTAATTGAATTATTGAATAATGTATGCGATTATTCATACTGATTAATTGAATTGAATTTTTGTTTATTAAATAATTTGTATGATTATTAGTATTGATTAATTGAATTGTTGGATTGATTAGTTATTAGTCATATCACTATAGTCTAAGAGTCTAAGAGTTTTTTTTTTTTACTTTCCATGATACAGTTAAGTAATGCAACGATACTATAAAAGAAAAAAAAGTGCTTAAAATCCTCCTTCAAATATTCCGAGTAGTTCACAACAAAGTGAGGCTATTGAGTTGGATGAATTATTGGCTAATCTTCCAGCAAACCTTAAACATAGACGTCAAATGCTTTCTTATCCACCTAATTATCGCGAAGCAATTCGTAGACACTCTTCAAAATGATTATTGTCAACCTAAAGACCACATCATTGCCAAGAAAAGCTAGCAACAATCGATGTTTTATTACGGTTGGGATCAATGGTTAAATGATAGCATGATTGTTTACATTGAGATACATGTATTTGCTTTTATTGACAATAATCTATTATGCACGTTTTCATAACATGAAACCTTGCCGACAACAATTGTAATTTGGTTGTTGCCCTTTTTTTTTAACTTTACACATTTTAAGTTCGCCCCTCTCCTCGGCAATTCCTAACTTTGCCACTGATAGGAATACCATTAGACCTTAATACTAAATGGATTGAACCTTAATAATGGAAGTTTTGACACTCCATGGAGAGTTTTTATCATTAATAGCTAAAATTTATCCCATCATTTCATATATATTAGCAGAAAGCATGCACGAATAGAGGGAAGTACCCTCAATTTTAAAAATCAAAACCTTAATGTCAATTTACCTTTTAGATGGGATGTTTTCTTCATTTTCGTCAACCTTAGACCAAGAACAGAAGCCAACAAACAGGAAAACCTATTTGTTGCAATTGAGAACTTGCGACATTTTGTGGTGAAGGCATAACTAAACAATCATGACAATCTATTTGTTCCAAGAAGAAAGATTTGTTTTATTCTTTTATAAGGGATCTTGTCTTAATTTTCATTAACCTTGGATTATTTTTCTAGTCAAGGTATATGGAATTGTTTACGAGTCTCACCATTACCATTGATATTGTTGGAGGAATTTAATTAACTACATAACTTTGCAGACCAACAAAAACTGGGTAGTTAAATCGAAAGAGATCAAGTTTCTATTGATTGGTAAATTTGATGAAGTTCTAGTTTCATTCGTCTGGTTTTTCATTCCCTGTTTTCATCATACTTTTTAGGATGATAGATCCTACTATTCCAATTTCATTCTCCCCAAAACAATTAGATTTATGTTATTACAAACTATTCACGGTGGTTCACCAGTTTATAATTAGAATTTATCATAAATAGCAAAAAATTAGTCCTTAATTTCAAATATGTCAATTTTTATAAAAACTTTCAAATATATCCAAAATATCATTTAAATAGACACGAATACCCTTGAAAGTTAAAAACCAAAAAAACTAAAAAACCAAAACCCTATTAGATGAAAAATTAGAGAATATGATGGCACAACTCTAGACGTAAGAAATGGTGGAGACCTGTGCATAAGAGAGTGAAAGCATCGCCTGCTAGTATGAAACGGTGAAGAATTGTGTAGCCCTAAACGACAGTGAGTGTAGATGGTGACAACTTAATATCTAGACATTGTGGGTCTATCTTCTTCTCATAAACTTGTTACAAGGACATAGAATTTAGTTTGAAGTTTAACACATATAGTGATGATGACAATTTGTTGTTAACAAGTCCATGTTTATGAATATTGTTAGTGCAAGTTGAGCATGATCTGACCAATTTTTCAATGACGTATTTGCCAGCAGAATCAATCACCACCATAGTCCTCAATTTCATGGGTCAACAACACTTGATTATAGCACAGGAAGTCTTTTAGTTAACAACTAGCTATTCATATAAATTGAGGGGTATTTGTATCTATTTAAGTGAGATTTCAAATATATTTGAGAGTTTTTATAAAAATTGACATATTTGAATTTAAGGGTTAATTTTTTGCTATATTTGATAAATTCTTTTATAAATCTCTATCCACCAGTTTACAGATCACCAAGTTTGATCATCAACCCACAAGATTATGTAATTAAACTTATGTTTAGAGGGCATTTGAGACTATTCAAGTGGCATTTTTGCTATATATGAAATTCTTTATAAAAATTGACATTTTTGAAATGATGGGTTAAATTTTGGCTATGAAGTATAAAAACTCATTAAAGTTTTGATTTTATTAGTATGCTCTTTTAGTTCTTCCAATTATAAATAATCCTAAATGAAAAACATTAAAAGAAATTAGTGACACATAAGGAAAAAATGTAAATACATCAATGTATAGAAATGATTATACCGAAATATGTTAAATTGACTTATTTGTACCGAAATATTTGCACCTAAGTGTTTGTACCAGAATATATTATAATGAATTACTGCACTTAAATATTGTTCCAAAATGTTTGTACCGAACTATATTATAATGAATTTGTGTACCTACATGTTTGTATCGAAATATATATATATACGGGATAGAATCAAGGGACAAAGATTTTGACAAATATTTTTACATTTCTTGACAACCTTTAGATCTGATAACATTCAACGGTCTTGATTAAGAGTTATGTAGAGGATTTTAAACATTAAATGAGGTATAAATTTATAATTAAGAAATTAATAAAAGTTAAAACTAAGAAAAGAATAAAAACTGAGGGAATAATCCTGTAAACATAGGAAGAAGCGAAAGTGGCCGTCTTGGATGAAAATGCAGACGCATGACCATCCGAATTGCGTCCAACCCCAACACCTCGAATTCCTATCATTCACGCTGTCAAACTTAGTATCGTTCAATTGATTGATACAAAATTCTGATATAAAAGTTGATCATTCTCCATAGGGGTGAGGTAGGCTATGTCTACAACATCGGGACAAACAAAGAGAGGAGATTGATTGATGTGGCTAGGAAAATTTACCAACACTTCTCTTTGAACCTAGATACCCATATTAGGTTTGTGCAGGATAGGCCTTTTCATGATAAGAGATACTTCATAGATTACGAAAAGCTAAATGCCTTGGGATGGTCCTAACAGACGCCGGGAGGATGGATTGAAGAAGACATTGAACTAGTACATGAAGATTCCCAACTGGTGGGGGGATGTTTCTGGAACACTTGTTGCTCGCCCAAGGAAAAACTAACAAGATTTTGAAGAACTAAATTTAATCATCCTGCATATATGAACAGTAAGATAGGGTTTTATTTTGCTTACCTAATGAAGATTTAAGAGACTAATAAGTAATAACTTGATTCATTGTAGAGGGCATTAGAATTCCATATCAATCCAAAGCATGGAGTTGCATACCTCATCGGCAAAGAGGAAGATGGAGGCTACAAATTAATGGAGTTCACAATTATAGGGTTTCTTCCCTTTAAATTTTATATCTATAAATTTCCTTATAAATTTTATGTTTTTTCAGTTTTTTATTTTATTTTTAATATTAATTAAAATCTACATAAGCATCCATGTCATTTAATAAATAAATAAGGATCCTTGGATGTCATATAATCTAAAGGCTTAAAAAGAGTGTAAAAGTATTTGTCAAAATATTTGTCCCTTGATCCTATCCCTATATATATATGATGAGTTAGTCTACCTAAATATTTGTACCAAAATATATTATAATAAATTAGTGTAGACTTAGAAAAAGAAAAAATTATGAAATTACCAAAAATAAAAATAAAAATGCTGACATTTAAGTAGAACTAAGGGACTAAACTTGAATCTTGTTCAAGGCATTAATATATCCTTTAAAAAAAAGGCATTAATATAAATTTAAGAATTAAAATCTAATTTTCCATTTTTTGGTATCTTGTTAAGGGAAAAACATTTGATGTTGTGCTCTCTGTTCAGGATTAATATATATATCTGTTTTTTTTTTTGTATCTTGTTAAGGGAAAAACATTTGATCTTGTGCTCTATATTCCTCTTTATATATAATTTACTTCGTCTTTTATATCTTGTTGTGGGAAAACGTTTGATTTTGTGCTCCCTATTCATGATTTATATATATATTTATCTTGTTAAGGGAAAAACAATTGATTTTGTCTTCTCTATTCATGATTAAATATAGTTTTTTTTATACAAAATATAAGTGACTTATTGTAAGTTTGTAACCCTCTCGTGTTTGTATAAGGGGTCTGGCTCCAATACTATATTTAGTAGTTAAATTTAATTTTCATAACTATTTAGATTTTTTATTTCAATATCAGTCAATTATTTCAATCTCGCGTTTGAAGAAATTTCCAAAAATTAGAGAAAAAAAATACATATTATTTGCAAAGCCCGTTCTAGAAAAATCGGATTCAACGTCCATCCATTAGATAAAAGGTAAAACTTTTCTATAGAACTCTTCGATTGGCGTTCTAAAGAAATTTTTGGAGGTCACTAAATCATAGTACTACTGACGATATTGTGCTACTTATATATATATATATATACACACACGCACACACTCCATAATGATCTTTAAAATATTATGAATTTTTATCATCCATGTTCTCTTGTTTTTAAATATCAATTATGTAGCACTAAGTGGTAAGAAAAATGAATGACTGAGATAAAATAAAAGATCTAATAGTTGTGAAAATCAAATCCAACAACTAAGACGTTAAAGTCATACCCATAAATATATGGTCAATTTTCGTCCCATTAAAGCAATTTGGAAAACACAAAGATAAAAAATGAAACACAAACACAGCCAGTCTCTCTGTAGCCTAGTGGCTTTGTGTTCACAAGAAGCCCACCGGGTCAACAGTTCGACTGGCACCAGAAGAAGAAAATAAGAAAATAATTGCAACAAAATGAGGTATTCTAAAATACCTCTGTTTTTGTCTTTCTTTTGCACCTTTCAGACCCAAAATTGCTTACAAAAACAAGAGAAAACGTAACAATTCTTCAGGCATTAAGTTGGACGTGCAATTGTTGCTGGGACTCAGTAGTTGGTGCCACATTCAAACCCCGAACGAAGGGGGAGTCGACCAAGGGGTGAGTAATTTTCACTTCGTAATCGCCGTGGAAAAGCGAGGCCTCGAAGAAACCATTAGCGTTCGTCGTGCCAGAAGCTAAGCCCGAAGTCAAACCGAACTCACTTGTGAGCTTGTCAACAACATCGCCGGTGGGCAAGTTCTTGAAATTGTTATCCGTCAAACACATTCTGTAGCATCCTGAAGGTTTCCATGCAGCCCAAATCACAATGCCTTGAATCTTAGGGTGAGAATGCACCTCCCTTAGAATCTGCTCCAAGTATGATGCCTGCACATATAACCAAAAAAGGAAAAGCTAACTACTCCGCAGAATTGTGATTTTTATGTTTATAAAGTCAATACCTATGTTCCTTCACATGTGACGTGAATAAATTTCTCGCTCTGATATCGAACGCAAAATCAAATTATTGGCAATAGGTGGAGAGGCGCAGTATTTTACCTGATTGGGACCACTAACGACGTCCAATTCTGTAATCCAAATTGGCACATTTGCACCAGCAAGAGTATCAATAGAAGATCTTATGTAAGGAATGTTAGGAGTCTGGAAATGTGACTCGAGACCAATCGCCATCTTTGCATTACTGTTGCCGGGAAACCCTTTTATGTCTCTCAGCTTCTGAAGGTACTTAGCAGGAATCGAATCTTTATCTCCACTCTCCTCAATGGTATTGTAATCATTCAAGAATAATGTGGCTGTATCATCAGCTTTACTAGCCCAATTGTAAAATTCAGCAGACGCAGTTGCACCCATCTTACTCTCAAAGAAGTTAAAATGCAAATTTTCGTTACTAACATCCCAAGCAATGACTTGTCCCTTGTATCGCCCCATAATAGAATTGAGCCTCTTGTTAGCGGCATCGGAGAATTGTTGGCCAGAGAGCGAGTTAAGCCAACCGGCCTGGTAATGAGGATCCTCCCAGAACACATTGTGGCCGCGGACTGCAATCTGGTGTTGCTTTGCAAACTGAACCAAGGCATCAGCAGCGGAGTAGTCCTCTTGGCCCTGAGAAGGCTCCGTGGTGTACCATTTCATTTCGTCTTCAAACGTTGTGACTTTGAAAGGCTTTGAAGTGAACCAGTTTTGGTAGGCTGTGTTGGTGAGGATGTTCTTGTTGATTGCAACACCGAAAGGGAAGCCTGGAGCCTTTTGTTGGATGATGATTGTTGCATTTTCCAGTGGATTTCCTTGCTCGGTGACCGCTTGAATTCTAACATTCGTCTTACGAACCTGTGAAAAGTGTATAGTTAGTTAATTTGCGTTTAATTAGCCTTGTTTCACTAGTAATTATGTGGCCCGATCAAACTCACCTTCTCAATGCTTTGTTGTTGATGAGAATTCCACTGCTTCTCAGTGAATGGTTGTAAGGAGATGCTATCAACAAATATCTCAACAGATGTGTTCTTGCTCTGATTTAAGAGGTTTGATGGTTGTTAGTTATAAAAGATTGAACATACTAATTACTTGTAACAGAAAAAAATATCAGTAAATATCATACAAATAGCAGAAACAAATACCTCGAAGTAGAGCTCGGCAGGACCTGAGGCATTGACGGTTAAGCCACCCTTGAGCATGGACCAGCAACCGGATTCAGCTACAATTGCACCAACATGTACAAATCCGCTACTTGTCTTGAAAATTGCTGATACCGGAGCACTACTGCTGCTCACTTGGATCCAAGCTGCACCAACACGAACCGGAAACATTATTACAATTATCGATTAAGTAATTAGTTGATAATTATACCATGAATCAGTAAAAAAGAATAATTGGTTTAAGTACCAGAGAACGTGTAGAGCTTGCTTCTTTGCAAGTACGTCTTCTGCGAAATACTGTCATGTGGCTGGTTTCTACCATGAGCCACAATGAATTTGTTGCCTTCTGATTCTCGGTGTTGTATTTTTGCATTGCCGAAAGTAGACCATCCTTTCACGCCAAGATTTAGTTCCGGGTTTACAATGATTCCTCCGCGATATTGTGGTTTGTGAGGCTTTGCCAAACACTGTAAACAAGGGGAACAAAAGAGGGAACAAATTTGTTAGATTTAATTGATATCTCTACGTAAACCTAACAAAACAGTTGTTGGGAAACTTGCCTCAATACTGGCCGTGTAATCATAGGATAAGCCATTCACGTCAAACCCTGTAAAGCACAAACCAATTGTTTAATTGTTAATCGTATTATGTTGCGATGAATTAAAATTAAAGTACATAGGCAATATTGTCAATAAATAAATTTGATATTGTTTAAATACATAGCTAGGTAATTTGGATATTGTTTAAACACAAACAATAGCAGTACTGTTTTGGTCGCTCTGTATTGCCTTGAGGCACAAGTTACGGCTCAACAGCATCAATGACAGTATTGTTCCCTTACTTAGGGTGACTTATAATTGTCTTGGCCTCGACTGTCTCTTAGGTGTAACCGATTGTATAAAATTGGTGATAGAGAAGCTATTCTCCCTAGAGGGCTCAGCCAATATGCCCCACCAAAGTAATTCAACATTAACACCAAAACTAACCGTAGTGAGAGACCGGGCCAGTAAGTGTTTAATCTTCATTCTGAAGCTTTATGATGACTCAAACTCATTATTTTTCATAAAACTATGATAGGAATACAAAGCAAACCTGCAAAAGCGAAAGCGTATAACAGCATAAGCAGAATGTTGTTGCCCCGAATGTTCATTGTAGGTCGATTGCTAGTTCAAAAACTGACGAGCAGATCAGAAAGGTTGGGAGAGAGATCGAGAAAGATCGAGGGAGAACGTTATAGAGTGAGAAGCAGTGGCCTGAGTTGAAGCAAACAATGTGTTGTGATTGTATTTATAGAGAAGATGAATGCTGCTTGGTACATGGCCAAATCTAATATTACGTATCGTATTCTGTATTATAATAACAAAAATAATTATTACCATAAAAAATAACAAAATAATTATTCCATATCGTTTTGGTAAGTATAAAGATTTCTTTCCTCTTCTACGCTGTCTTAATTTGGGAAAGAATTCTGATGTTTATTATCGGTCTTAATGTCTCAATTCATGTCCCTTTAGGATTTTGTTCATTTATTTTCTTTGAATTAAAGTATCACCATGCATGAGCAACGAATTTATTTTTACTTTATACATTTGCTATGTTCCATATATTGCTCAATTATAAATATTGTTCATGTTTACGCAATATTTTATTGTATTGATTTTGATTTGCAATATTTTGTGAATACAAAGAAAAAAAATACAAAATTCGATTCTTTTAGGAAAACAAAATTCGATTTTTTTAGGTTAAAAAAAGAACTTTAATGAAAAACTCCTGATCCTGTTCACTTAAATGAAAAATCACATTTTTACACTAAAAAGTCAATCGTGTACTATTCACTTTACCTTTTATTTCTTATCGTTAAAATTCAAAATTTTTAAACATTTTTTTATTAATTTTTCTAAAAAAAAAAAAAAAAAAAAAAAAAACCCTAATCCAGCGCCAAGCCGCGTCTTGCAACTGTCCCTTAACGACGACATTTGCCGTCCTACTCCTGTAGCCAAATCCGTTGGGCCTGTTGCGCCTCGTGGTCCAAGCCCAAAAAATGGGCTTACCTTTTCACTCAGCCAACACCCAGAATCTGGGCTTTTCTTGTGCTTGGCCCGCAACCATCCAACCAAAATTTGGGCTGAACTACTGTATTTTCTTGCTTCTACTGCCGACCCTGATCGGGCCCAGTCTATTGAATAAATTTAGTGATCTACAGTTCAGAAATTCGAAAATAATTTTTTGGTCTACAGTCCTCTTTTTATAAATTGTGATTCAATATATTATTATTTTTTTTGCACCATTAGCATCCTTTTGTAGTTCCAAAAATACTCACACTAGGTTCTCGGAACAACCCAAACCTTACAGAGGTTAGCTTTACTAAACTTAGTGAAGTGATATATGATCTTAATAGTTGATTAACTTAGTTAAATGTTAATATTGTGCATCTTTGACTCATTGATTCGATTATTGTTGTGATTGTGGAATTATTGTTGGAAAACAGTGCAATGAACGTGAAAGATGAATGACAATCATGGTTGTTAAATAGTTGCCTTACATAATATGGAATCTAGTGAGCCATGCTTGTTGAGGTCCATTGAGTGATACTAATTCTTTATGTTCTTACCAATGTATGCATTGAGAAACTTCAGAGCTTAATAGAGAGGTGAACTACGAATAGCTTGATCTTGCCTTAGGGTAAGTAGGCAGTCTAACACAAAGATTAGATGCAGTCATGTGATAAAAGTGGAGTTACTACACTATTGGACCATTCGTCTGTTTTTAGACATATCTCAAAAACGAGGCATGACACTTAGATAGGTACTTTCTTATGTCACGTGTCCATCCTGTAGGTATCCCGAGATCGGAGCATGTAACACTTGGAGTTTGATTTTCCAGAGATCAGAGAATTGAAGCAAAATATTTTCATAGAGAGATTTATTTGTGTCATTATTTTGATTTCTTTTATTTAAATATTTGTTTTTCTATTTTATTTTTATTATTTCTTAGGTTTTATTTAAATAATTTGTCGTATAAACTAAAATTTAAGCGATTTGTCATACCAACTTTTCAGAATCATTAATTTGTCGTTTAAAATTATTGATTTCAGAAAAGTTGGCATGACAGATCGTTTAAAATTTTAATTCATATGACAAATAAATAAATAAAATGTGTTTAAGTTCATATGACATTTTTAAAACTTTTCATTTTTTACATGAAAAATGCATAATGATTTTCTGTGAGTGTAAATAACAATGATCTCTCTTTTGAATTTTATATTGATATGAGAACAATATCAACAAAGGAGCCAATCCCCTGATTTTTTGATGAAATTGGTTTAATTACCATGAAAAGAAAACTCTAACCTTAAAAGTAAGAGTGTACAGCGTTCTGTTTTAAGGAATAACGCTCCAAGTGTTATAACTTCTTTGTCTATGTACTTCAACATGTCCACAGGCATCCACCAAAGATAGAACATTAGAATAACTCATAACTCTAAACTTTGACTGCCATTACGAATTGAAGCCGCATTATCATAGAATTCATCACATCTCGCAATAAAGAACATTTGAAACAATTGACAGATTAGTAAACTCGAACTTGGTCTCCTACGATCCAAGCTGCACATAAAAGCGAACATATATTAGTAGAAAATAAAATAGCAAGTGCAAAGATTTTATGAACAATCACTTATTAATGCGTTTTTAACCAGCTAAAATGTAAACAAACAGGTTAATAACTAAGGAGCTTACAAATAAAATTAATTACGGAGACAACAACGCCAGTCTCGGTAGCCCGTTGGGTTGGATTGGATTGGATTGGATTTGTGCTAGCTCCACAACAACCCACCTGGTCCTGGGTTCGAGACTGGCAGAGACAGAGAAGAAGAGAGATTGAGAGCTCAGAAACAAAAATGAGGTATTCTAAAATACCTCTGTTTTTATTTCATTTTTTAAGTATTCGGCCGCAACTTTCTTTGTATTTTTTAACTGACTGAATTTGCTCCAACAACAAAAAAATTTGACTGAATTTACAATCAGCTGAGATTTTTTTTACGGTAAAAATAGGGTTTGAATTGTTCAACGTCAACGAATTCACCAGAGCCAAGGGATCATCTAACGCCGGTCGCGTGAAGAATGTTGGTTTTGTCGTGCACACACAAGCCCTGTGTAGACATAAATGGGTCTCACAACATTTTAAGGTTTTTATCACAAATGATTTTTGAAATTGACCCACACCATTAAGATGATTCCTGAATTTAAAAATCAACCAACGTAGTCCCTGAAAATAGATATCGCAAATAAATGTGGTCTTTTGTCATAATTCTATTTAAAAAAAAAAAAAAAGGATAATTGTTCTGTACTGATATGGGTTTAATAATTTAACAATTAATTAAAAGAGTTGTCAAAATACCTTTTTGCATAATGAAAATCTCAAAGCAGAGCTCGCCATTCCCTGCATAACCAAGATCATCAGGGGAGTGCCTAACAAGCTTTCCTACATTAAGGTTGTGAGGGTGTCGACCACTGATATGTTAACAGTGATGTCACATAAGTCCTCGCCAATGCAAGGCATCACTAAAGGTGGTCTCGATCCTGATCCAATTTTGTGAAGGGTGTAGAGATAGGTGTCTTGAGAATATATATTTATTTATTTTTCAGAGAAGAGACGGCAATGGCTACTATAGATGGAGGTAGAGGAGTGTGGGTTGGGATCATACGTGATTCCCGGACTTGGTTTCTGGATTGACAAATGTTTTTAATTAATTATTAAACTATTTCTAATTTATTTTTTATTTAATTAGACTTGAGAGACCCATTTATGTATCACATCAAGGAGGAGGATTCTCTCCCCTTCCCTCCTCTCCTACTTGAACGGTTACGATTAAGCCACATCAACATCTTATATTGATTTTTATATAGAGACAATAAGACAAAAATTAGTGTATGAGAGGATGGGAAGGAAGGGGATGGGAATAAGAGGGTCACATTAACCCATAGAAAATTTTTTGACAAAATTGTGATGGAAGGACCACATTGATTTGATGCACTTATTTCTAGGACCACATTGATCAATTTTCAATTTTAGGCACCATCTTGATGGTGTGGGTCAATTTCAGGAACCATTTAAGTGCCATGTTGTATTCCTTTCAAATGCAAAAATAAGGATAGTATAATGACACAAGTAAGGGTGTTGAACCATAGAGACTAATTAGACCTCTACAGATTACTGGCTTTATGTAAACCCTAACTTAACAATGGAACTAACAAATTGAATTTGGTATTTTATTTGACATAAAAAGTAATTTAAAATGCAGGAACATGTAAATATGAAAGATAGATTGATTAAAAATCGATGAGAATGAGACTAAGGATCTCAATTTCACCCTTATAAGCCAAATCCATGCACATTAAGTCAAAACGTATTCAACTCTTCAATCTGCAACTAAGGTCCATTTTACTTATTTATGATCATTGATTTGATGTGTGGTTGTGATCTAGTAGTCTTAATCTGCAACCTAGTTGTGATGTTCAACATAGATTACCAATTAAGAATCCATGAAGAATAAGAAAACTTCAAAGAAGTAAAGAAATCACATGACGGGATAAA